TTGTTGTCTCTAGAAATCCTAAGAATAGACACACCTGTTTCGAATTATACGGAATTATCGATAATCCGCTCTTCAAACTTGCTGCAACCAATCCGCTTAAGACAGTTTACGGTCACGCTATAGCCGAGGCGTTAATTCGCAAACCGTGATTTATTAATTGTTGGATCAAACTTGGAATTAAAATTCAGCAAAGTGTATAAATTCGTACGAAATTATAGAAAAATATACAAGATTTCTAAATTTCTATGATACTTGTAACTTACAGAAATATATGTAATAAATTTGTGAATGTGTACACAGCATTTGACAATTTGTACGATATTTATAAACTTATACAACATCGTAAACATTTGTAAACTTGCTAACGAACTTTAATTCACGAATAATTTTGTATAATATATTTATGTTATTTTAAATTGTACTGTTTTAAATTTATTTATTCGTATCAAAATTAATGAGCACGTACTGGTAAAATATACTGCCACACGACACACTTTCGACAGTTTCGACAGATAAAAAACCAATATCAGAATACTAATTGGAATCGATATGTTCAATTTAGTAATTGTTGATCGCGAGCAATTGATTTTCGTAATCAAAGTAGTTAGCTGTCAATAATAACTGCGAATGACGTTCGCTCAGTTGTAATTGCTGCAAGTAATTGATTCTCAAATTTAAAAAATTAGTTGCACGTTGTAATTGACAATTGACGATTTTATTTTTGTCAATCGTTGATTGAATTACGTTCTGTTCAACATTGGTGGTGATTTTATGCGTTCGTTCTCTAAAAAAATGAATTTTAAAACTCAGACAAATAACTCAAAAATAAAATACAGTAGTTAATTTAAAGTTAACAAATTCTGTGCATTGTTATAGATCGTCGAATCCATTTATGTGCGAACTAGTAAAGAGACGTTGATTGACGGATCGTATAATTCCATTTTAAATCCGGGGGGAGAGTGACCTTTAAATATCAAAAGCGACATCGACCAAAACGAAATCACGCTGACCACAAGTGGATAATCGGAGCGGTGACCTTTTAGAAAAATTGATGATAGTGTAACAAAGAGGCAATGACATTGCCACAATATCGACTCGGTTACAACTGACATTGTTGCGACATGCTATAGATACGTGGCTTTATATAATGTTCATAATACTAGGGCATTCAGCGTCGAATGCATGCATAATCGTACCGCATTTGTCAGCTTTAGATAGCTGGAAACATTAATTTGACCTTCGATGATGGCTCTGTTAGCCATAATCGGTCGAAAAATTTCGTTCTGGGTACCGAAATCTATTTTAAACCAAAGTCAATTAAGGGTAATGAAAGGGGAGCTAATTCGAGGCTTTAAAGCAAAGTTAAGAATTACCCCTGTGGCTCTTGATCGAGACCTGACCACTAAACTGGACAAATTGGACCAATTGGTGTACCACATTCATTGACGAATGGTCAACAGCTTAAATGGTCAGAGTTATTATCGTTTAGGATTAGAAATAATAGAAACTCATTTTTGGGGAGGGTTATGGCTTGTGAAGAAAAATGTTAGATGTTTGAAACTACCCCTATGATAAAAAATTATTTGATACTAATCCAAACTTAAGCCAGACCTAACCTATTATTAAATGATCAACAGTTGAAATGGTCAGACTTATGCTTATTGTTTAAGATTAGAAATAATAGCGATTATTGTGTAAAACTACCCCTACGATAAAGTATAGTCTCCTAGGTTTTTTTAATACGTTCATTTTACTCTTTTATTTCTGGACTAACACGAATAATCCTTTATATCGAATTTACATTCATTCTAAGTAAGATAGTTCGTCCCTGGAGCGATTATATATACATAGAAATTTGCTTCTCGTTACGTAAGACTAGCACAGATGGAAATGAAACAGAAGGAAATGATAAAAATGAAGAGTGAGCACGACGAGGTTATTAAAATAAATTTTTTGAATACATGCGTCTTTTTGTGACAATTTCACCGCAAAGTACGGGGGATATTCGATGCTCTATTGTGTTTCAATTCGAGTAACGCCATCTGAATGCTGATGTCGATGTCGTAGCGATCATATTCGTTCGGACAACGGAGATTTCATCGTACCTTCCCGGCACGTTTTATCGATCGCGGCTCCCGTTTTCTCGGTTGGGGGCACAGAAACAACAAGAATTTCCACCCTGTCGTCGTTGTTTCGCGGAGACGCGCTCGTGGAAAGAGCACAGCTGACGGAGGAGGGTGGAAGTGGCGCGGTCGGCAATTCCTGCGCCCTCGTGTTCGGGCTCGGTTCGCAACAATGCGAATGTCGCGTTACATTGTCGCAGCGACCGTATCGATCGCATCCGGTGGAAGGCAACGTGGCATCGAAGGCTAACTGTCGCGTGTCCTGTCGCGTGGACAGCGGCAATAAAAAAAAAAGAAGCGAAAACGAAGGGTCGCCCGGGTTAACTCGTTCGTAACGCGTAGAAAAAATGAAAAATAACGCCAAATTCCTTTTCCTTCTCGAATTCAACCCTTCGACGGACGGTTTGTAAACTGCAGAGGAACGTAGGAAATTTAGGGGTAGTTTTCGTTAGCCTTCGACCTCTTCTATAGCTGGCGCGAAACTGGTGGCTCGAAAAAATCGAATAGTAAAAATTGCCTTTTATGGGCCAGAATCGAGGTGAAATTTAGTTCGAATAATAGGAAACACATGAAACCGCCAGTCGTTTATTCGATCGAACGGAGAAATTGAAGTTTCGGAAATTGAATTGTGAAACACAATAGAACGTTGATTATCCGAATCAATAGAGGGACAATTCTCTTCCGATACTCGGTCCGGGGGAAAAAACCAAAGTTGCAATTATAGACGGAACAAAGTGAGAGGTAAAATAGACAAATTTTACAGAGAATGCAATTTTTGAGGGAATTCCGCGAACAGAAAAGATTTTAATATAAATAGAAGTACTCGATCGAGAGAATAATAAAAATTCGTCGCGTGCGTGGCGAAAAGGTTGACCACGAAATCGGGGGGCGGAAATGGTTGTCGAAGGTGTGCAAACAGATACCCGGGGCGCGATATCATACAGAAACCTTTTTGCCCTCTCGGTTTTTCTCTCCGTTGTTTTCTCGTTAACAGTCGCACATGGCGAGACCAGCTGGCGTCGTTTCGCCGTCACCAGGAAATGAAACGGCGGCACCGGGTTCCGTGTGATTCACGAATTCAAATATTCATGGCGAGGCCAGGGTGCAAGGGAACTGGCGGCGCAGGACAGGGGAGGGAAGAAATGTTATGTTATTGGTGTCCTTTAATTTTCGTCGTCTCGGCGTTCCGTTTCGCTCGAGAGAATCCTCGGGGATAATTAAGGGCCGTCGTTCCGCGGCTCAGCTGGCCATTGTTTCCGTCGATTGTTCAGAATGCGACACAGCGAATCGTAGAACCACGCGAAATTAATTTCCCAACGTTTTCAACGATTTAGCGCTCGACGCCCAAGTTCCCTGTAGTTTCCTTTGCACACAGCCTACCGCAGAAATTTCCAACATAGTTCTGTACTTAACTAATGCATCTCAACTTCCTTATTCGAACGCTCCACAAAATTATTTTATCGCATTCTTTTAAGCAAATACATATTCGATGGTTTTATTCACTGGTGACAGACATTTGAATTTGAATGGAGGATTATATAAGAAATTTGACAAATCAAAATCTCATCAGTTAATAATAGATTTCTTGATGAAGAAAAATTAACAAAGCACGAGTTTTATGTAAATGTATGCACTTAGATTTAAACAAAACAGTTGAATTCTATTTTCAATCTTCATTCTTAAAACGTGTTTAGTTCCACTTTCATTTTAATTAAAACTAGACATAATTATAGTTAAATACTATATATGTTAGAAATTTATACATTTTTCTATACTTTTACATTGGGATAAAAATCAAACTTGAAAAGCAAGATTCTACACGATCGATCGATTTGTTACGAAATTGTTAATTCAAGAATCGTCTTGACTAAACTGTGCAGGTGCAACGTCATGCGTAAGCTACGTTTGACGTACAATAACACGTAGGACTTCACCTAAAACCTCATTCAATTGATTACTTAACAAATTGACGTAGAACTGGGCAGTTAATCTTTCAGTCACAGAACTAACTATTTTACTGTACTTACTACTGTTTTTTGTATTAAAAATTTAAGGATTTCTGTCTTAATATTTACGTGATATATACGTAATAAATAAAATATATTTTTGCATTTCAAAATAATAAAAGAAAAAAAGTAATTTGGCTAATCGCTTTACCAACTCAACTACATCATGTTTTATAAAATAAATATAAATAATTCATTTACTAGGTGCATATCAAACTTTAAATGAAAATATCTCGAAAATGAAGGCCCATTGTGAAGAACTCTATTAGGGTTGTTTGATGCTACATATATACTATAACTTGCACCTGCTATCGTTTCAAAAGCAATGTCCACGACTGTGAGGTCCCATTGTCAGCTTGCCATTGAGAATTGCAGAATTGCCGTATATTTTATAAAAATTCTCTGCCACTAAAGTAGGTGTGTTATGATACACGTTGCATATATAATTTTTTGTCAGTTGTATTATTCTACAGTGATCCCTCGTTAATGTTCGCTGGTTAGGCATTATAGGGATCGAGGGATCACTGTACAATAATGGAACTGACTATTTCTTGCCAGATTCTAGTTGGTCGAGAACATTGTATAAGTAGGGTGTATTTTAACCTATTTTAGTGGCAGAGAATTTGTATAAAATATACTGCAATTGTCTAGGTACCCAATTTCAACACAATTTTGTTACTCGTGGTAATGTCCATAATTTTATAACCGTAAGATATACCTATTCTTCTAAGACCAACTGCGAATTATTGACCCTTTACTACGGTATAACATAGTCCAATAATTTCTAAAAACTTTACTCATTCATTATTCCGAATAAAAAAAAATGTTTAAAAATTTCATCCATCATCTTTTCGTAAATTCTTCTGTCCAGGCTACACGCACGAGTCATGGATCAACCACGAGGAGCCGCCAAAGTACGCGACGCTTCGTTCGGCGGCGGAGCTGGCCCGCCCTGTGGTTCCGTCGCCGCCCCCGCCAGCGGCGCCCCAGGAGTTGCCAGCGGTGGTGACCGGGTCCAGTCTGCACCAGCCGCACACAGCCCCGACGACGACCCCCTCGTCGTCCGCGTCGCTGACCTTGCCGCCCAGAAAGAGCCTGTCGATGTGTTTCACCAGCACCGGGACAGCGCTGTCGCTGCCGCCGAAGAAGAAGGACATCTATCGGCCTTATAGTCTCCAGCCGACGTCGGAGATCCGCACGTCGGCGGAGGAGGACCTGTCGGCGGCACAGGCGATCCTCGACCTGAGCGCGTCCCCTGCTGCGCCCACGCACTCGGTCTTCATCCACACGTTGTCGCCACCACCGCCGCCGCCGCCGCCGCCCACGCAGCAAACAGCGCCTGGGGTCGCGACGACCGGCCAGTTGCAGCCGACCCAGCTGCAATCGGTGCCCACCGCTCAACCCATACCGGTCTCGGTGCTGGTCCCGGTTCCCAGCTCGCAGAGCAGCCAGTTGCGACAACAGGAACAGACGCAGCAGCCCCAGTCGCCGGCCACCGCCGAGGCGAACGCGAACAACTGCGCCAGCGGCAGGGATGGGTGAGTATCGATGAGAGCAAACGCGTCGAAATCGCTGGTCGATTCGGCGATAAATGCGATTGCTGGTTCCCGGTGGGCCCTTGCTTGCACACCGATCGCGACGAAGGGGGAGAGATGTATGGAAAGGTGCGTGTCCGGCCGATGGATGGATGGCTATGCTGTTCGATGTCGCAGTCCTGCTTTTGTGCACGATCGCTTGTTGGGTGTCGCGTTTGGCATTGGTCGGAGGGTGTTGATCGATTGATGCATCCGTACGGTACGTTTGACACGTCTCGATAGATGTTTCGTTTACTTTGTTATTTTGGTGTGCGTGTTTGCATGACCACGATACCGTCGAAAGTGATTATCAAGACGGAGATGGGAAAGGGTAGAGTTGAACTAGGTCGTCGATTGTGGCCAAATTTGACTCACGATGGATCCAACGATAGAATATCAGAATCAATTCTGTGATAAGCTTCAATTGTTTTCGCAGTATCTCTTCTGAGGATTCCTATTGATAGTGCAATTCTTTATATTTTTCGATTCTTAATATATATGCACTTTTTTGTAGCAATACTTATTTGCATGAATTAAATAAGAAGTCATATCTGATGTCTTTAATCTTCATTGAATTGTCTTCATCAATTACAGGTGCTGCTTGCCCTTAATATTTCTGCGGGTCTTATAATTGTCGACAAGTATTGAGCATGTGGCAAATAATAAATTACAGTATAGCCACGATGCACCAGAGTTTTCACGTAATTTTCGTACTCGATCAAATACAGAAAATAGACACAATTTCGTTTTCCCCTGTACCTGCCATTGCGAACAGAATAGTCGAAACTTGGCACAGAATGGTCCATCGCAAGTCAAAGGTCACATTTGACCCCCCTGTTACTCGACTACACCCTTCATCCTCCCACACACCTCCGAGACAAAAAATCAAACCACCTTGAACGACTTCTCTCCCCTCTCCCGCTACGCGTCCGATTACCCGAGAAAGCTGTGCCTGCCCACGATATTCCAAAAGCACCGAAATTTCTCCCCGACAGCGGCAACGGCAGCACGAAGACGGTCGCGTACACGTACGAGGCGTTCTTCGTCTCGGACGGTCGTTCGAAGCGTCGCGGCGGCAGCACGAACGGCGCCGCGGTGCCCGAGAAGGAAGCCACGCAGCCGGACAGGCCGAAGTTCGCGTGCACCGAGTGCGGGAAACAGTACGCGACCTCGTCGAACCTGTCGCGGCACAAACAGACCCACCGTAGCCTGGACTCGCAGTCGGCGAAGAAGTGCATCCACTGTGGGAAAGCGTACGTCAGCATGCCAGCGTTGGCGATGCACGTGCTCACCCACAAGCTGGCCCACAGCTGCGGCGTCTGCGGCAAGATGTTCTCGCGACCGTGGCTGTTGCAGGGCCACCTGCGAAGTCACACCGGCGAGAAACCGTACGGTTGCGCGCACTGCGGCAAAGCGTTCGCCGATCGTTCGAATCTGCGCGCCCACATGCAAACCCACTCCGCCGACAAGAACTACGAGTGCTCGCGGTGCCACAAGACCTTCGCGCTCAAGTCCTACCTGAACAAGCACCTGGAGTCCGCCTGTCTGCGCGACGACGAGATGCCGCAGCAGCAGCCGGGCGCCATCAGCAACGCGACGCAGCACCAGCAGACCAGCAACCGTGATTTGTAGCAGCGCTTCGACGACACGAAGACTACGACCAGGCGCCTCGACGCCCTCGCGGACGCGGTTAGGGAGAGCTAGCGGTCGTTCCCGGCGATGCCCGGCTAACTTGGGACGGGAGGGGACGATGGCGATGAGAGAAAGAGAGAGAGAGAGAAAGAAAATAAAAAGGTTTGCCGTAGGTTTTAAGTAGAAAAGTGCCAGTAGAGAATGGAGTAGTAGAGTGGTGTTAACAAGTAAACAAAAAAAAATAAAAATTTGGTAGAATGAGGAAACATGACAGGTGGTGACAGGAGGAGGAGGTATCGGTTTCTTAAATAATGTCTAACATTAATAAAAACGTCCAGTAATGTTTAAGTCTTACGAAAGATTAAAAAGAAAAAAAAAAAAACGAGAACGAGAGTGTAACGAGAACGGAAAGAAAAAAAAAAAAAGAACACGTCGAACCGGTGACGTCCACACTGCAGTCTAGTCACTCTAGTCGATTATACCTATTACATTATGATATTATATTATTATATTATATATATTATATTATTATTATATATATATAGTATATTTACTAGCGCGTACGGTTCTAGTCGCGAGCTCGTTACGGAGACACTATTTATTAATACTTAGCTGCCTAAACGATGAAAATAAGAAAATACTAAAACTCTCCATGGATGATGAGCGAACAAAATGGGGGGGATTCGAGGTACAATAAACGACGCTGAACGGCTCGACGTTTTGGGACGAGCCAACCGAGATTTCCGGGCCGGTTTTCGATTCTGTCACCCTTTGACGACGCCGATCGCCGGTACGGTTCTCGCCGGGAATCGAATCCTGTCCAGAGATCGATCGTCCCGATCGTCGGAACGCACAGTCGCGGATCGACGACTTCGTCCTCTTCCCAAACGCCTTCGTACGGCCGTCTCCCGAACGAGACAACGACCCTCTTGCATGTTCCTCTTCGATGGATCCCTTGTCGAATTATACTCGAACCAGGGATCGATTCACGGACGATCGACGTCCTCGATCGGAGTCGTCGATGCACGTCCGCGCGTTCCGTTCGACGACAACGAAACGCTGCATGCAACCGGCACGTGTAACGCCTGACTTTTGTTCGTTTCGCTTCGCAATTCATCCCTCGACTATAAATCGGCGGGCAAACGAAAGTTCCGGGCGCGTGAGACGGGATCGGCAAATTTGCATCTCGAGAGAAGCACAATAATTCATTCTGGATTCGAGTAACGTAATCATTTTATTTTGTCGCTTGAAAGCGGGGTTTAGGTCCCGAAATGCTCAAAACCTGTAAACTGGAGGATTCGTTGGAAATTAGTACAAACTCGTAGAATCAGAAGAAATTGCGCGTTTAAAATCGTCCTTGTAAATTTGAACTTTCCTTTGCCCACCGCTGGCTATTGCAAGTAGTTCAACGCGTTCGGTGTCGCGGGATATTTGATCTTGTAAACGGGAGGGAAGATTATAAAATAATGTTTAACCCTCTACGATCTCGTGTCTACACATTCAAAGTCTGATATTTATCGTTTTACCAATATTCATCATTATGGCTTTTGAAGAAATATTTATAACAGCAATTAATTAGAATTTCTCACATCAACGTGGATATCCCATTGTAATGTTTTTTAATTTTTTCGAAGAGCCAAATTCGGGGTTACGGAGGGTTGACTGTATCTCCTTCCTGTTTTGTGGATCCGGTAATTTTGTAAATAGAAAATATTTATTCGAGCAAATATTATGGGTCGTCGTCGACCCACGCGACACGCGGACATTGGTCGATCTGCTTCGAGATCATCGTGCTTGCAAATTTTCTTTCGTTGTTTCTCTCGTTACGGCGTTACACGGACTGGAATATGAAGGCTCCGGGCGCGAAACGGAGGAATTCAAAGACGCGTACACGTACACTTCACACGCAAACAAACACCGACACGTAGGATAAACAGTCATACATACGGACACGCGCGCGTACACGCATATTTAGAGCAGATTCGAGTAATACAATAGATGCGTAACATTGTTATACACATATTTTATAGAAGCAATATAACGAGTAAGGGAATAATAAAAAAAAAAAAAAGTAATAATGACGACACGTACGGTCAAAAGCAATGTTTCGACACAACGAATTATATAATTATACATATAGAGGCGAACATCGAAGTTTAACGTGATGGATAACGATGATTTGCTTCGGCGCCGAACTTTTTTAATCGTTGCGCCACGCTCTTCCGGGATCTGACGTGATCCATGCTTGGAAATACCCCGAAACGATACGTGTTTCGTTGTCTCTTTTAAAACGAATCTTTAGAGTTAGCATTTTGCTTCATTTCGTCGATTTCTGATCAGTTTTAGACGAGCATAGAATTAATTTTTAGCTACAAATATCTCACAATCGTAGCTTGACCAAGTTTTTCTTGCCAGTCGAGCGTTTGCAACACGATTACTCTCGTTTGCCTAATCTTTGGATGATTGTACAACGAATTTTCGAAAATACTTTTCAAATGTGGTAATTGGTGCCCCCGTAGGAAAATTTCAGGATAGCAACATTTAATCGCGTTATTGTATTACTCTTTTGAAATATATTTTTTCTAACGAAGCTTTGTAAAGTAGATCGCGCCGCGTATTCGGGGCGTGAAACATTTTTTGATAAAACCAAAGACAACGAAATCGCGCTTAACTCGCCGAATCGGTTAAAGTTAAATCATCACGATTACGCGATAATATTAGTACAAAATTTACAACGACGTGTCGGTAGAGCCTGCGATTCTGTAAGTGCGTTAGAATACATGTGTCAGAGTATAGCTGTAGAATCCGTCGCAAAAAACACGTGGATACGTAGCGCCTCTTATTTCAGGTGACACGGATTCATAGAAGCAGAGGCATTTAGATGCACCTCTTATTTCACGTGCATTTAACCTCTTCAGACATGAATATTTTTTTCTCTGAGCACAAAAAACCATTCCACGTTTGCTTCAAGTTATTTGAAGAGTCATAAATATAACTTAATATTGAATAAATATTTATTCTATTAGTTGTGGTCTGAACTATTTAATCTAATAAGATGCTTGGTTGCATATATTCCTAAAAAGTACAATTTTAACATGGACGCTTGAAATAGTTGGCTCTACCTCTCCAATGCACTAAAATTCTGCTTGAAAATCCGACCATTTCGGTTCGATCAGTTTTCAGAAACAACGATTGCATCGTTAAATGGTTCGTACATAGGTTGGAGGTTTATCGGTAGTTTCGACCGTGTTTGTCGCGAAAAAGACGATAATCTTCCACGGGTATATTCTAGGAAATATAGAAATTGGCAATGGATCGCGATCGCGGAGGGGAACAGAGAAGAGCGTGGATCTGTCGTCGATTCGCTGAGAGCCGCGCGCGACGATTCAACGAGTCCTTTTGTATTAATTATTGCCGATAAATAATTACCGCGTTGCATGTACAGAGTAGCCGACCTCACCGCCAAAGTAAAAGACATATATAAAGAAAAGGAGAGAAAAAAAAAAACAAGAAAACGAGAAAAAAATAAGGAAACCGCGGAAACCGAACGACGAGCCACGAGAATTTTCGCGCAGCGCCGCGATCGATCGTGCGCGATAGATCGCGGCGAGCAAACCGATCCAAACGGCGCCAACCGGTCCTGCCATTGGTCGACGTTTGTTCCACGAGTATTTCTTCGCGCTGCGCGCGTGCAGCGCGCGAACGTAGAGCAATAAAACCTTAAGCAATATTAATTAATTAATTGATTAACGAGTAAATTTAGTCAGTCGGTTCGGGTAGAAAGGGAGAAAGCGAAGAGGGAAAGAATAATAGACGTTTAACGGGGGAATTTGACGGTGAAAAAAATAACGACCGTGAAAGCGAAATGCAAACGTGTCGCGACGTTTTGACGCGTGTCTGTTAATTTAGCAAACGGCCAAACCACGATCGGGAATCGAGCGAGGACGGCGCGATCGAGAGCACGGATGCTTTTCGTCCGCGCTACGTCGATCTTCACCGCCGATCTACCTTTTCCAAGCTCGCTTCGTTTCGAAAATACCTCGCCGACCGTTCTGTCCTCATGTTTCTTTTTTTAGATACGGATTAATTGTTCTTACATTTACGGACCGTATAATAATTATTTATTTATTTTTTCTTATTTGCGAACTGTTGTCAGTATTATTATTATTATTATTAATAATGGTTGCAGCATCGTCGTATTTATTATATTTATTATTATTATTAACATTGTGTACTTTATTTATCCTTACGTCTGATTCACCTTATCTCGCTGTTTTATTGTCATTTATTATTATTGACGCCGTTTACATTCTGTTATTATTATTACTATTATTATCGATGGTTATTATTGTGCTGATACAACGACCCGGTGCAACGATCGGTATCGCGTTGCGTCGCGAAACGCAACGAAGAATATTACGAAAACATGTGCAATTTCCGTTTTCCGTGATCGCGGCCGACTACAAATGGAACCGCCGCATCCCATGCGCGATAAGGCTGCTTTATTATACTAGTCTCGCGTGTACAGTCGATATAATTGAACTTCCGGAAATACTCGTATCGTACACCTACTACTAATACATTCTTATACACACGCAAACGTATTGGTACGCATAGATTGTAATTCGCGGTTCGAGAAAGACGGAGAGAGGAGAAGCCGGGCTTTAAACGCGCTCGAACCCCTGTCTGGAAATTTCATTTCACGACTCGATTTTCTGCAGCCGCGTCCACGGATATATCCAATCGATCTGATTGTATTTTTGTATTAATTCACTCGCCGGAGCGAAATATAATGGAATAATTATTAACAGAAAGCTACATTTGTCTCAAATTTTATTTATCTTCTTGCAATAAGCTTAAATACGAAATTGTAAAATTTCAGGATTTAACGAAAAACGTGGAGGCGATTACTGATGCTATTATATTTAACAAATTTTTGACACGTTGACTGCTGTATGGATTTTTTAATCCAACTTTCATTCAATCAAGAATTTGTGCAATAATTAAATTAAATATATTAATGAAAGAAGAATTAAAATTTGAATAACAGAATAAAGTTACTTTTGAAATTGAATAATATTTAAATCGAAATTATTTAATAATTGGAGGTCAAAATGCACATAGAAAACAGTATAAATTGTAATAGTATATTGATCGAATAGAAAATGTGGCGCCCTTTAAAATGAAATTTGTTTCAAGTCGGTGGCTGGTTTATTTAAAAATAAACATAGAAGCCTGCGTTAATTATAATAGTTGTTACGTTCAACCGATAGAGGATGAAATTCCCTTTAAAATGAGCGTTCGATCAAGTCGATAGCTTTATTAGTTCCGGAGATATAGCGATTTTAGTCTCAAGTCGATGCGGTGGCTAGTTACGGAGATATAAGGGTCCGAAGCGTTT